GTACTCATACGCCACCTTGTACTATATTAATATTAGTTATACGCATCCAGGTTCTAGAAAGTTATTGTTTGCCATTTTTATACCTTACACGACTATGTTGTCAGGGTATTACAGCTTTGTGCAGCCCCAAAAGTTTGTAACGCCGCAAAATATTGGTCCTAGACCCACCTTTAAGTATACAGATCGTCATATATCGATTAGCTGAATCGATCAAGACATCTGTATCCGTCCGTCCATACGTCTGTCCGTCCGTCTGTCCATTATAATTTGTAAACACGATACAGGCCACAGTTATTGATCAATCTTCACGAAATTTTGCCTATAGGATGGGTCCTTTCAATGAAGACCCCTACTGTTTAGGGGATGAAATGAACCAAAAACTTTATTTTTGTCTAATTTTCTGGTCGTTTCAGAGGCCACAATTATGGTCCGAACATTCCGAAATTTTACATGGAGAAGGCGATTGGGCCAAAGAATAAGCATGCCTGTTTTCACAAAGATCGGTTAATATTTAGCGGGTCAAATGGACGCTGACTTTTGGGTGAAAAATGAAAAAAAAATTGTATTCTATAGCGTATAGATTTACCCCCGAAGGACATAGACCTGAGAAGTTGATAGTATATACAAGAGGAGTGGTTGAACTTTAAATCGATACCAAATATATTGTCGTGTGTACTCGGATGTGGGAGTTACACTTAAATATTTACAGGTGCTTACGTATTACGTATATTATTTAGTAACCCATTACTACACTAGAGTGCGGAAATATAGCGCTGATCGCTTTGAAATGTTCCATGAGGTTCCAACGCCTATATTTTTCGGTGATGATCAGATAATAATTTTGGGATGAAGTCGACCGAAAACTTATTTTTTTTGTGTTTTTTCGAGCCGATCTATAGGCCACAATTGAAAGCCGAACATCACAACACAACCCACGGTGAAGGTCAAGAGAGTACAAATATTGCCCAAGATCAGAATATAGAACCACACAAAGTTAGATTTTCGTGAAAGTTGTGTAGGGTATCATATGGTCGGCCCCGTCCGACTACACTGCTCCGCTCACTGGTTTTAAAATATACACCTTGTAGAGAGCTTCAAAATCTAAGCCTTAAACTATTATTTGAAAATCCACGCATTGACGTATACGTAGCGTCGGCACTCATACGGCACCTTGTACTATCATAATATTATTTATACGCATCCAGGTTCTAGAAATACAATTTTTTGCCATTTTTAATTAATTCCGAGTGCCACAAAAAATATTCATTAAAAATCCACTCCTTAACTTAGAAAAAATATTCTTTAAAAATGTACGCCTTGTAAAGGCTTCGAAGAAATATTCTTTAATAATCTACGCCTTGTTGACGTCCATAAAAAAATATTCCTTAAAAAATCCACGCATTGTTGGTGCCTTGAAAATATTGACTTTAAAAATATATGCCTTGTAAAATTTTGAAAAAAATATTCTTTGAAAATCTATGTTTTATTGGTGACCTGAAACAATTTTCTTTAAAAGTCTACCCCTTACTGGTGCATCGAAAAAATATTCATTAAGAATCTTCAGTATTTTAGGAGCTTCGTTTTTTTTCTTTAGAAGTCGACGCCTTACTGGCAAATCTGCAAAAGTAAGCAAAATCAACCCAAAATGGCCAGGATATTTTTTAGCAACATTTTTGTCCACTTAAAACGATTGTTTTTTATTTTAAAGTAATTGCTATCATCAAAAAAACTCGCCGGATTTTTTTAAGGACTCTCCGCCCATTTAGATTTCATATTTTATTAGCATGTCCTTTCACCTTCTACTTTGCCTTCTCGTCCCACTTTATGGCTTTTTAAACATCTTTAGCAAATTACTTGCCATTGCCCATTTTGAAATGACGATGAAATATAGATGTCAAAGCTAATAAAAATAAATTGTCATAGTTTTTTTTTGTAGCTGCTACTGTTGTTGTTATTGTTTTATGACACTTTATTGTGTTTCTTGTCGTTGTCATAAATTTTCTCTTTTTTTTTGGTTTTATGACCAAGGACTGCTAGGACTAAGATTTCATTTCATTTGTAAATATTTTATTACCTAGCTTTCAGGATGGCAATCGGAAAAGAGGAAAATAACTCTGCGATTCACCTTCCTTTTAAATTTCTTACAAGGTGATGCATTTACTCTTTGGCACGCTTTCGATGGAAGGCTGTGAGGAGAGAGAGAAAGGAATTAATATTTAATTTATATAAAAAAATTTAGAAGAAAATAAAATTTGGTAACAGGAATTGGGAACGGAGTTGAAAATATATTACAAAATTTAAAAAGAAGTAAATAATTGTATAATGGTATTTATGGTATGCAATTTATTATGCGTATACGTGCTGACAGTACTCATACGACCCTGGGGCAAATAGATTTTTTATCTGTTATGTTCGTATTGTGGGTACCGTGGAAAATATATTTTTAGAATGGGAGTACCTTTCAAATAATATTTTTAAAATATATGAAAAAACACGGCGTTGTTGGAGTCTCTGTGAAGGGGTCGATTTGATCCGGGGTCAACTAACTATCCGCTGTAAGGGTCAAAATTGTCCTCATTGAAAAAAAATCAAAAACAAAATCTTTGAAAAATATGAATACTTTTTAAGAAGTCCTGTAATCATCATTATCCTGACATGTTAGGTATCCGATATATTAGACAATATTAAATACCATACTGCGTGGAATATTTTTGTGGACCATCGTAACCCTCTATCACCACTGTGAGACGTTTTTGATTCTATTATATTGAGATGACTTTTAAAAAGGACGTCAGTCGTTGTTATTGTGTCATTTTTCGCATTGGACATATTTGGCAATATAAAGGACCACACTGCGAGGAATATTTTTGTAGAACATCGTAACCCCCTTGCACCACTATAAAGGGGTAATTTTGGTCCGAATTTCCGAAAATTAGTGAAACCCCTATTACAATGGGATTTGTGACTTTTAAAAAGTATGTCAATCCTTATTATCCTGCCATTTTTTGATACAGGCCATGTTTGGCAATATTAAGGACCACACTAGAGGGAATAATTTTGTTGACCAATATAACCCCCTAAAATCACTTTCAAGGGGTCATTTTGGTCCATTCCAACGAAATATACACCAAAATTCAATTTTAAGGGAAATGGGTGTTTTTGTTATCTCATTTTTCCTTCTGATCCTTTCAATTTGGGTTATGCTGCTTTTTAGCAATATTGTTCCTGGCTTAACAGAGAATATTTGTGTCGAAGATATTAACCCTTTAGATACCTGCTGTTAGGTTCAAAATTGTCCTCATTTGAAAAAAGGTAAAAAGTCGAATTACCTTTTGATACGTGCTATAATCTTCAATATCTTGACTTTGTAGGTGTTCGACATGTATGGCAATATTAAGGACGATACTTCAAGGAATATTTTTCTAGACCATCATAACCCTTTTGCGGCACTCTAAGTAGGTCATTTTGGGTCCCATTTTCGAAAATTTGCGAAATTCCTATTATCTTGAGATTTGTGTGTTATAAAAAGCACGTCAATCGTTATTATCCTGCCATTTTTGATATTAGACATGTTAAGTAATATTAAGGACCACACTAGGGGGAATAATTTTCTAGACCATCGCAACCCTCTACAATCACTTTAAAGGGATCATTTTGGTTCATTCCCCAAAAAAACCGCACCAAAATTCCATTTAAATGCCAACGGGCGCTTTTGGAATTCCGGCTTATCCTTGAGATCCTTTCAATTTAGGTCAAATCTGTTTTTGGCAATATTGTTCATGACCAATCAGGGAATAGTTGTGTCAAACATATTAACCCCCTAGTTGCACGCTGTGAGTACCAAAATGGCCTTCTTTTAAATATATTCGTTAAAAATCTAGGTATCTTTTGAGAAGTTCTATAATCTGCAATATCCCGACACTTTTGATGCTCGACATGTATGGCAATGTTAAGGACCATACTGCGGGGAATATTTTTGTAGACCATCGTAACCCTCTAGGGCCACTTTAAAGGGGTCATTTTGAGGGTCAAAATGACCTCCATTAAAAAAAATTAAAACAACTAGGTACCTTTTGAGAAGTTCTATAATCGGCAATATCCCGACACTTTATGTGTCCGACAAGTTTGGCAATGTTAAAGACCATACTGCGATGAATATTTTTGTAGACCATCGTAACCCTCTAGCGCCACGTTCAAGGGTTCATTTAGAGGATCAAAATGGCCCTCATTAAAAAAAACCCTAAAAATATAATTACATTTTGAGAAGTTCTATAATCTGCAATATCCCGACACTTTAGATGTCCGACATGTTTGGCAATGTTAGGGACCATACTGCGGGGAATATTTTTGTAGACCATCACAACCCTGTAGCGTTACTTTAAAGGGGTCATTTTGAGTATCAAACGGCCCTCATTAAACAAAACCTTAAAAAATCTAGTTACATTTTGCGAAGTTCTATAATCGGCAATATCCCGACACTTTAGGTGTCCGACAAGTTTGGCAATGTTAAAGACCATACTGCGATGAATATTTTTGTAGACCATCGTAACCCTCTAGCGCCACGTTAAAGTTGTTATTCAGAGGGTCAAAATGGACCTCATTTAAAATAAACCGTTAAAAATCTTGTTACCTTTTGAGAAGTTCTATAATCTGGAATATCCTGACACCTGAGATGTCCGACATGTATGGCAACGTTAAGGACCATACTGCGGAGAATATTTTTGTAGACCATCAAACCCCTGTAGGGTCACTTTAAGAGGGTAAAAAATTTTCTCCATGTCAAAAAAATCGATAAAAATCTAATTACCTTTGAGAAGTTCTATAATCTGCAATATCCCGACAGTTTAGGTGCCCGACATGTTTGGCAATATTAAGGACTATACTGCGGGGAATATTTGTGTAGACCAACGTAACCCTCTAGGGCAACTTTAAAGGGGTCATATTGGGTCCCAATTCCAAAAAAAATATATTGAAAACCCTATTCCATTGAGATTTATGACATTGTTTAAGATTCGGGCTTGGAAACAATATATTTTAAAACCCCCACGTCAATAATTATTTTAAAAAAATACTTCCCCAATCCATGTGTATGTATGTATGTATGTACGTCATTGCTATTTTTAGCCAGTCTATAATTAATAATGTCCATGTATTTAGTGGCCGTTGAATGTGTGTGGTATTTGTTTTATTACCATTATTACGCTTTTCACTTGCCTAGCAGAGAGAGAGGTAGAGGAAGAGAGAGTTTGCTCTCTCTCTCTCTCTTTATGCCTCACTTAACTTGAACGTGTCTGGCTTTAATTCCTAGAAATAATAATAATTATTATTATTACAAAAAGTTATTAATACCACGTTTAATGTGAATGAACGTGAGTGTTATTTTTCACACTCACACACAGAGGCACACATACACATACTCATACATTTATATATATGAGTATACCCAGCGACAGTTTTCCCAGTAACACTTTAGTTGTTGTTTTTATTTTATTTTGTTCTGTGTTTGTTGTTGTTTCTTTTTCTTCTGTCGTTGAAAATTCCTGGGGGAGCTTATCAACACTTCCACTTTGTTGCCCTTTTAGCCATTCGATGATGCATTTAATTGATTTTTAACTGGAATCCGCACACACACACACACACAAAAACAGTTATTGGCTGACACGTCTCACTAAACATTGCAGATATCTAACCGATGGATGATAGCTCGACAGCAAGAAAACAATCTCAGTGGAAACATGTCAGATAATATTGTTATTAAAAAAATTCCTTCATTGATATGAGGCAAAAACTATTTCTTGTGGCAAAGGAAAAAACACATAGAAAGGATAAGGAAACCACTCTTGAGGAATGCTACAAGGAGTGGGGGGTTTTAAAAATTTAATTTTTTACAAAAATATTTTTTTAGGCAATCATTACAAAGTGTATCTCAATATCATAATATTTTCTACACTTTTTGGAAATTGGACCAAAATGACCCCTGTAAAGAGGCCGCAGAGGGTTATGATTGTCTACAAAAATATTCTCCGCAGTATGGTCCTTAATAATGCCACACATGTCGGACACCTAAAGTGTCAGGGTATTGCAAATTATTGACCGTCTCAGAAGGTATTTCGACATTTTAATGATTTTTTTTTTAAATCGGGACCATTTTGACACTCACATCGGGTAGCTATAGGGTTAATATATTTTACACAAATACTCTCTGTTGTATCAGGAACAATATTGCCACAGACAGGTTTTACCAAAATTAAAAGGATCACAAGGATCCGCAGGGTTTTTAAACGCGCCTATTTTCACTTAATGTAATTTTGGTGTATGTTTCTTATAAATGAACCTAAATGAGTTTTATGGTGTTCGTAGAGGGATATGATGGTCTACAAAAATATTCCTCGTAGTATGGTCCTTAATATTGCCACACATGTCGGATACCTAAAGTATCAGGGTATTGAAGATTATAGCCCGTCTCAGAAGGTATTTCGACATTTTAACGATTTTTTTTCAAATGAGGACCATTTTGACCCTTACAGGGGGTAGCTAGAGGGTTAATATATTTTACACAAATATTCTCTATTGTATCAGGAACAATATTGCCACAGACAGGTTTTACCAAAATTAAAAGGATCACAAGGATCCGCACGGTTTTTAAACGCGCCTATTTTCATTTTAATGCAATTTTGGTGTATTTTTTCCTGGAATGAACCAAAACGACCCCTTTAAAGTAACATTAGAGGATAACGATGGTCCGCAAAAATATTCCTCGAGGTTTCGTCCTTAATATTGCCCAACATGTCCAGTACCAAAAAGGTCAGGATAATAAGGATTGGCGTCCTTTTTTAAAGTTACAAATCTCAATATAATAGCGTTTTCCACATTTTTTTGGAATTTTTACCCAAAATGACCCCTTTAATGAGGGGCTAGGGAATTACAATGGTCTACAAAAATATTCCCGGCAGTATGGTCCTTAATATTGCCAAACATGTTGCACATCTAAAGTGTCAGGATATTGCAGATTATTGGGCTTCTTAAGAAGTGACTCGATTTTTTAACGTTTTTTTTCAAATGAGGACTATTTTGAGCCATACAGCTGGTTCTTAGAGAGTTAACGTGTTCTACAAAAATATCCTGCGATATGTTATGAACAATATTGCCATCGAAATGGATTCGCTAAAATGAAGGGATAAGCAGGATATACATGATTTTCAAAGACCCATATTACCAATTATAAGGTATTTTGTAATATTTTTGTAGGAAAGGGCCAAATTGGCACTTTTAAAGTGAGATTAGAGGGTTATGATGGTCTACAAAAATATTCCTCGGAGTTTGGTCCTTGATATTGCTAACCGTGTCGGACACCTTAAGTGGCAGGATATTAAAGAAATACATCGCTTTTCAAAAGATAACTAGTTTTTAAACGATTTTTATCATATGAGGACCTTTTCTACCCTTAAACGGGTCGCTAGAGTATTAATATCTTTGACACAAATATTCTATGTTGGATCAGGAACAATTTTGCCACAGACAGGATTTACCTAAATTAAAAGGATCACAAGGATAAGTAGGGTTTTCCTAACGGTCAATTGCATTTAAATGGAATTTTGGTGTATATATGTAGGACCAAAGCGACCCCTTTAAAGTGGCGCTAGAGGGTTCTTATGGTCTACAAAAATATTCCTCCATGTGTGCCCCTTAATATTTCCAAACATGTCGAATGTCAAAAATGATAAGATAATAAGGGTAGACGTCCGGTTTTTAAGTCGCACATCTCGATAAAATAGTGTATTTAATAATTATGGAAAATTGGAATCAAAACGACCCATATTAAGAGGCCCTAGAGGGTTAAGATGGTCTAGAGAAATATTGACCGCAGTATGGTCTTTAAGATTGCTATTATATCGGTCACCTAAAGTGTCAGGGTATTGCAGATTTTGGCACTTCTCTAAAGGTAACTAGATTTTTTAAACGATTTTTTCATATGAGTAGCATTTTTAACCTTACAGCGGGTAGCTAGAGCTTTAATATGTTTGACATAAATATTCTTTATGGGGTTCTGAACAATATTGCCAAACATATATGTCCCCTAAACTGAAAGGATCATAAGGATTTACACGATTTTCAAATGTACTTATTTTCATTTTAAACGAATTTTGAAGATTTTCTTTTCTTAATAAAGTACCAAAAAGACCCCCTAAAGGCTGAGTTAGAGGGTTACAATGGTCTACGAAAATATTCCCCGTAATGTGGTCCTTAATATTGCTAACCATGTCGGACACCTAAAGTGTCGGGATATTGAAGATTATAGCACTTCTAACAGGTAATTAGATTTTTAACGATTTTTTTTTGCCATGGAGACCAATTTGACCCTCAAAATGACCCCTTTAAAGTGGCCCTAGAGGATTACAATAGTCTACAAAAATATTCCCCGTAATATGATCCTTAATATTGCTAAACATGGCGGACACCTAAAGTGACAGGATATTAAGGATTATAGCCCCTCTCAAAAAGTAACTCGATTTTTTAACGATTTTTTTTCAAATGATCAATATTTTGACCCTTACAGCCGGTAGCTAGAGGGTTAATATATTTGATACAAATATTCTCTATAAGGTTCTGAACAATATTGCCAAACATATATGGCCCCTAAACTCAAAGGATCGTAAGGATTTTTACGATTTTCAAAAGTAGTCATTACTATTTTAAACGAATTTTGAAGTATTTTTTTCTTAAGAAATTACCAAAAAGACCCCTTTAACTCTGAGCTAGAGGATTACAATGGTCTACGAAAATATTCCCCGTAGTATGACCCTTAATATTCCCAACCATGTCGGACACCTAAAGTGTCGGGATATTGAAGATTATAGCACTTCTAAAATGTAATTCGATTTTTAAAGATTTTTGTTGACATGGAGGCCAATTTGACCCTCAAAATGACCCCTTTAAAATGGCCCTAGAGGGTTACAATGGTCTACGAAAATATTCTCCGGAGTATGATCCTTAATATTGCCAAACATGGGGACACCTAAAATGCCAGGATATTAGGGATTATAGCCCGTCTCAAAAAGTAATTCGATTTTTAACCATTTTTTTCAAATTATCTACATTTCGACCGTTACCGCGGGTAGCTAGAGGGTTACTATATTTGACACAATTATTCTCCATTGGGTTATGAACAATATTGCCGAATATATATGGCACCTAAACTGAAAGTATTATAAGGATTTCTACGATTTTCAAAAGTACTCATTTTTCTTAAAACGGAACCTAAATGACTTTTTCCACTGGCCTTAGAGGGTTAAGATAACCCAAGAAAAAATGTCCTTGTAAAAAACCATAATTTTTTCCTTGTTCCTTATCTATGTCTTCCCTTCATAGAACATGTAAATTGTTAAAATTTACATGTTTTTATCTACCCCAAAAGGCAGCCTTGGAAATTATTTTTAAAGGATGTAAATCCTTGAAAATATTGTACCACTGTCAACCTCAGGCAATGCCAGTGTCTTTGCAACAAAATAAAATGGAAATTATGCTAAAAAAAACTCCTTTTTCGAACATTTCTACAAGCAAAGAAAAAAATAATGAAATTTTTGTTTAACAAAATCTCAAACTGACATAACTTATTTTGTAGCTCCGGCTCCAGCTACAGCTCCTCCCTCGGCATCATAAATCTCTCTCATAAAATTGTCTACTTCTTAGAGAAAAAAAAACAACAGCTACAACAAACTTACACATTATTTATGATTGCAATATAATGTTCATTCATCATTCAGTGTTATGATTCCGGGATGAACACACACACACACACACATGTGCACGTGCACACTTATTTATGCACCATGGCACTCGTATCCCAGATCCGACCCTATTTGACATTCATAACGTTTCTCAATCAGGAGGGGTGGATGGATGGATGGATGATATTAATAGGGTGCATATGCCACAGTATCATCCAGTCACGTAAATTTCTTCGACATTTAACCGAAACTGAAGGATTCGAATAGTAGTAGTAGAGTAGAGCAGGAC